AACCCCAAACCTCATGCTCAAGGTTTACTACACGGCGTGGAAGCGGTGGTTAGTCACCAACCTCCCACTTCGGTGACCCAAGTTCGATTCCAGCTCAAGTTACATAATAATTGTGGTGAACAAAGTGGCACTCGGGCGTTTCCTCCGAGTCCTTCGGTTTCCCATCTTAACCTGCTCCACCCTCACTAGCTCACTAATAATGTTGCCACCTGACAACACCTGACGTTATATAGACCGAGACTAACCTCGTCGTTAAACAGCCCATCAAATGGCATGGTACACAGACATACCACTGCGCTATGCACGTACTATACTAGTGCCTAGAGGTACGAAATACTAACCTTATTATCCGCAACACTATGCTCAGTACAATCTCTTTCAACAAACACTCTCTCAAAATGCGTAATAACCTTACTACCCGCAGCAATGTTCTCAGTACCCTCAGTACAGTCTCTTTCAACAGGTACGAACACACCCAAATTAGCTGTAGTGGAAGATTTATCACGTACGAAACTGCATTCCGTCTGCAGTTTCAATCGGCAGGTTAAAGTACTATTCTGCACCCTTCCTGTCCCATTGTATATGTTTATGCCTTTGAAGTTAATTGTTGGTGTGACATTAATTTTGACATCTGTATTACTCTCTTCGGTTTCATTCGGCGAGATAAAGTACTGTTCTCCACAGTTCCTTTCCCTTTGTGTATTACGTTAACGTCTATTGCTTTGAACGTTGATTATTCATTTTATTTCCACAAATGAAGTCATCTGTTAACGAACGTACATTTTCGTTTATTATATTCTCATACACAGCCACAGAACGTCTTCGTATCGAACTATAACGTACAGTCACACACAGCCACCATAACCGCACATAATTGCGGGAATTCAAATTGGTTTGTTTAGGCTCTGATTGGTCGAGATCTGTGTGTAGTAACTACCTACACACATAGAGGCAGTAGTTACGGTAGTTACCGTGTTTCCCCTTCTCCTGTGCCAGTTGTTCCCCCGGTCAACCAATTCCACGCAGCAAATGTGACCAACATAGCGCTGAAGTTCAAATGAATTTTTTTTATTGCTAAGAGAGTGGGACTAGGTCCCTTGTACTGCGGCCACTTCTGGCCTACTGTACCAGCCTCAGATGATAGGTGAGGGTGATTGTGGAGCAATTGGGGGAATGAAGATTGGCAAGGGAAACCGAAGTACCGAGAGAAAACCTGACCCAGCGCCACTTTGTCCACCATAAATCCCACTTGACCAGACCCGGGGCGTCGTGATGGGAAGCCAGCGACTAACCGCTTGAGCTATGGCGCGGCCCTAAGTTCAAATGTTGCATTTCTACATTATAGATCATGGGTATTGATCCGTGTTAAAAGTCCTCGTGACATTAACTTGTATTCCTCAACCATAATCACGCATTTTACTATATTTTCATATTACAATGAAATACATGCTGCATGCCCTGCCCACCTCATCCTCATCATTCTAATTATGGCTGGCAAAGGGTACAAGTTATGCAGCTCCTCGTTATGCAGTTTTCTTCAGCCTCCTGTCACTTCATCTCTCTTCAATCTAAATATTCTCATCACCCTCAGTCTATGTTCCTCCCTTAATGTCAGAGACCAAGTTTCACACCCATACAGAGCCATAGGCAAAATTATAGTTTCGCATATTTGTTTTTAGACAGCACACATGAAGATAAAAGGTTCAGGGCTGAATTGGAGCAAGCATTACCCATATTCAATTTCTTAATTTCCTCCTGAATCAGGTTTTGATTTGTTACAGTCCTTCCCAATTATCTGAACTCTGATACATTTTCAAAACATTTGTTAGCTATCTAAGTCATAATTTTGCCCTACATTTTAGTGACGGTACGGCAACATACACAAGTACTTAGTTTTATCTGTGTTTACTTCTAGACCAACCTCATTACTAAGCATAAATTAAAGTTTTTCTTTATGGTATTTGGAGTGTGTCTGGATAAATGGTATCCAAAATAAAATACACTTGGTTGTAGACTTATGACAGACTTCCGTTCTGACTGACAGGTCATAAGTCGATCTGGTCGTATGTCGGCCATATATTTTTTAACCTTTCTAATCTTTTTATCTTTATAATTTATTTTACATTTTATTNAATTTATTTTTAAAAACTTTTGCATTTTAATCATCTTTTATTTTTCTTTCTTTCTTTCTTTCTTTTTCTTTTTGGTCTAAGTGAGGCCGGTCATAAGTCGACGACCAAGTCTAATTATATATCAGAAAGCTTTTATTTTACACATTTATGGGTTACACAATTACAAAGGGAAACTAATTTTTTCTGAGTACATAACTTTCTCAATAAATTTCAACATGGCCTCCCTTGGTAGCATGACAAATATCCAGATGATCCAGCATGTTTGGTGTTACCTTAGCCACAGCGTCCCTTATGTGGACTTTCAGGTGTTCCAGGTCATTGATTTTAACCTGGTAGACAATGTTCTTCACATACACCCACATGAAAAAATTCAGTTGGGTTAAATCTGGAGACCTAGGAGGCCAAGCAACTGATCCACTTCTGCCTATCTACCTGCCAGCCATTTCTCTGTCCAAGTGATTCCTAACATGGCGGAAGAAATGTGGCGGTGCATGCACAAAATCCAGGCATGAAAAAAAAAACTTACAGGGTTTTTCTTTCTAATGACAAACCAGATATGTGTACAACATTTACTTTTTGAGCTATAAATTTTTTATTTTGGATACCTTCCATCTGGACACCCAACAGAATCATCATCAGCAGCATAGACCAACAGCCGATGTGTCCCATTTAATTTCAGACCCGCCTGGTTTTCTTGGACCTTCCTAATGACATATTCTAAAGCAAAGTTGAAAAGCAGTGGCAATGATGAATCTCCTTGTCTAGGCCATTCTGGATAGGAAAATTATTAGACAAATGTTTAAATATATGAACTTAAGTTTCGTTTAAACACGTTTTAATCAGCCTACGTAGTTTCATGGGTACCCCAGATTCTAGGAGAATATTGTACAATACTTGCCCCCTAACTAAATTATAGGCTTTCTTGAAGTATTCAAATATCTTATGTACTGTCTCAATGTACTCCAATTCTTTCTCCAATATCTGACGAATGCAAAAGATCTGATCAGTATTTGATCTGTTACGTTGAAACCCACATTGATGATCCCCAATAATTTCATCTATATATAGACTTAACATTGAGAGCAGAATACTGGATAAAATTTTGTATGAGGTTGACTGGAGTGATATTCCATGATAATTATTATAGTCATTTTTATTACCGTTCTTGTGAACTGGTACAATAATACACTCCTTCCACTAATCAGACAATCTATCCTTAGAATTAATTTGTTTATGAAGCTCAGAGTGTAATATTTCACCTCCTGCTTGGATCAATTGTCAGAATTTGATCACTACCTGGCGATTTATACCACTTCAACTTTGCAATAGCAATTTCAACCTCAGGTATTATCGGCTCAGCTGTATGTATTTCTATCTACCTAACATCACTGACCTCATGTACATTCAATAACTGAGAGTAGTAGTGTAGTGCTTCCACCTATTCAAATTTTTTTGTGAGAATCTACAAGCACATCACCATTCTCATTCTTTACTAAGTTACTTCTAGGTTGATATTCCCTCTTAAAGTCATGTATTCCTCTACACAGGTCTCTGTTCTTGTTCTTACTGTTCATTGCTAGCTCATCACTCATTTCTTTCAGATATTCCATTTTTTTTTTGTTCCTGAAATGCCTGCCGGTTTCACATCTTGTATTGTTCAGATTATCCCCATTCATTTCACTGGGATCCTGTAACCACTACAATTTTGCTTCTTTTCTTTGGTCTAATAATTTTGAGCATCCATCATCGAACCATGGCTTATGCTTCTTCAATTCATAATAACCTACTCTCTCTTCGGCCGAATTTTGATATTCTCTCCATCAGTTTCCCGGGCTCTATTAATATCAACCTTAGTGTTTTAAGTTTTCCAAAGCTGCGAACCTCTTTGAGGTTTAAACACGATACTGCTCTCTACCCTCTACCTCGTTAAAATTCTTGAGACTGAACCTCTCCATATGAACTCTGTGTGTTTTTGTTTACTCACTGCCAGCTTTGCCACCAACAGTTACTGCTCTGTATCACAGTATATTTCCCTGAAGGATCAGACATCGAATAATATAATAAGTTTGTCACAAATAATAATCAGAGGAACTTTCAGAAGTTAGAAATTCTTGCAGGGAAAAAGTATAATGGTAGCAGACATGCCAAGGGGTTGGGCTCATGCTCCGAGAAAGTTATTATGGTTCTAATATTTGCTGGCAGTTATATTTTGGACATTGTATTTATAATTATCCATTGTTCATGTTTAAAGAAAAATACATTTTGGAGATATACTCTGTCTACCATCTTCAGGTAACATTTAACAATGGAAGATGCCTTCTCTGTAGGAGCAACTGGATGAAGCTACCTTTAAAAATTAGCATTATCTAATGGGCCCTACAAATGGGCAACTTTCTGTCCCACTGTTCTGCATTGAAAAGAGTGAAACTACCATTTAAGTTTTTTTGGGGGGACAAAGTGCATTTGATCAGTAAACTAAGGATCACTGAAACTGGTCAGAGGAAAAACCTTAAACTGAAGATCAATAAATGGCATATTCCATTGGGGGAGAAAGCTGAGTTACAGAATGTAACAATTCTTAAAAAGCTATTTAAAATCAAGATGATGTATAATGTTCACAGAATTATGTCAACAAATTCTAAAACCAGTAATATATTTTTGGGAGCACCTGTCATTCACAGACTAAATGCATGGTGGTTCTACTGTCACCATACTTCCCTTCACTATCATCAGGGAGCCCCTAACAAGTTTAATTAAAATCAACCTCTCTTAATGAAAAAGGAGAGTCAGTGCATCTGCCCACTCTCTCTCTCCCTCTCTAATGTTAATGATGGATGGCTGTTTTCAGTTTGGAAACCACTCCATGAATGAAACATTTTAAAATGTAAATATATATTTCATCTCACATTTCAACATGTATATACAATAAGCTTCTCAAAATTGTAACACATTTTGCACATTCATTACATTCTGGAAACAACCACATGCTTGATATGCTGACTGAAAATATTTTAGAGTTGTCAGCTGAGAGGAACTGATTACTTGGTAACCTCATGCATAGCATGTGCAAGGTAGTCAACATTCTTCGATGTGACTCCAGCCATTGAAATTCTGCCATCTTTGGTCAAGTAAATGCTGAAATCCTTTGTAAGACGCTCAGCCTGAAAAATAAACTCCACATAATTACCATTAAAACAAACACACAGTTAACTAATTGATATACACAAACTCTTCTGTTCGTGAAAATCATTAGTTCTAAAATCCAGTGACATTACATGAAAACTGCAGGCAATGGACATTTGTAATGTAGTGTTTCTGAATTTAATTTGGCCAGAGAACCCCTCTGCACCCAACAAATTTTTATGGAGCCCCTAATGAAATTCTTACATTTGAAGTTGAAAAAAGCAGAGCACAGATAAGTAAGGATAATACTGAACATGTAAATCAATATATTATTTAACTGCACATATTTTGAAACAAAAACCAAATTTTACAATATGAGAGATAAAGCTTAAACACTAATATGGGGAGTAACTGCAATTTTCAATTCAGAGTGGGTTTCTCTCATCTTTTCACAAATTCTTTTTATGTTAGGCTTGATACTAGAAAACTGAATTACAAAACCTGGCACCAGATTTAACGTGTTTCTGCATTTTGTTTTTGTTGTTGCATAATTTATGAATCTAGTTTTGCACAACTATGTGATGGTGAAGGCTATCAGCTGACAAATTGCATGCCTTGATAAACTTTGTCCCCTGAGGCGAAAACATACTTTAAGTTATCAAATTCTTCTTTTGAAAGTTACATTATTTAAATTATCATTTTTTAATACTGTAATGGAACTTTTTGTGGAACTATTACTTTCATTTTGTGGAATCCTTGAGTTTTGTGGAACACCATCAGGGTAACAATGATGTAATGTAACATGTTAGTCTCACACTGAAACCTCAGATATGACCATCTCCACAAGACAGTTATGTTTTAATTCATAGCAAGTAACTTGAAATATATTTAAGGTAATTCTGAAGTGCAACATTTTGTGCTGGGCTGCATGCATAAATGTCAATGCCTACAGTCAAATATCCGAATATAATATCTTGCTGATTTCTTGGAATTCTTTTCCTGTTCCAAAAAAGGCCATGATTATAATTCTAAAATTTATACAGCATGCTTTTACGCTGGAATTCCTTCATGGAATTAGCTGGTTAGTGGTATTTGTGCCTTTCTTTCTTTGTTGTAAATATTTTGTACAGATACATGCTATTCTGTTAATACTAGCAATTGTTACATACTGTAACTGTTTGTGACAATTAATGGTGTGTTTCAAACACAGGTGGGCCTATTATTACTTCTACACTGAAGTACATGGTGAAATATTTCATCCGTTGTACTGATTAATGAAATGGGTGGCACAAGTTCCTTGTATAAATGATGAATTGTAATGTGAATGCAAATTTAAATGAAATTTTCTATTACAACTAATTAGTCAATTTTGTGAATCAAGTCAACAGTTGCTCAGGTAGTCAAGAAATTCCCTGCATTTTAAGGAACCCAAAGGTTCATTACACTGTTCAAAAGACCCCGCTGCTAGTCCCTATTATGAGTCAGAAGTATAGTCCTTATCCTCCCATTCCACTTCTTCAATATCCATTCAACAGTTATCTTCTCACCCTCACCTAAATCTTCCAAGTGGTCTCTTTTGTCTATTATAACTACAACATCCGATACATGATTGTCTCCATACCTGCTGCTGGTTCATGCCTGTGAAACAGAACATGCCAATTTGGTCTGTGATGTGAGACCAATCACGTTGTGATCCTTCTTTCTTTAGGTTATCACGTAGCTGCGTTCGAACAGATATGATGCGGTCTGCCATACCTTTCACATCTTCTAACCTGTAACAATGGCACTGTCTATATGGGATTTGAGATTTTAATGACACACTGAAGATTCAGATTGTGACCTTCTGGGTTACAACACTGTCTAATCTGGTAAGGAGGTTACCAATGTTTCAGTCAAACCTGCAGGCTCCATCTTCAGGGCAGCCCAGAGACGGAGAGAGCAGGTTCCTCTGAAGCACTGATAACCACCTACCAAAAACATGGTGTCATAATCCAGAAGATCATGATTTAAAATGAATAAGAATCCATTACATCAAACATTTTGCATCTACTTCTCACTCTGATCCTGGACTAGGTCAAAAAAGAAATGCTGCCTTAACTTAATTCTGGCTGTTATCTCCTTCAAAGAGTCTCCTTGCAAACGCATACGGCAATTCCATTGTTTTTTCCAAACTTCAAAAGCACCATGAAAGTCGTCTTCCTCAATGCTGTCGAATACTGCTTGTGATTTCCTTTGGATGTCACTGTTTCAAATCTCACCCCTTCAGTTTCATTTTCAATTTGGGAAACAAAGTGAAATCACAGGGGGCTAAGTCCGGCAAGTAGAGGGGATGGGGAATGATAACCACGTTGTTGTTAGTCATAAACTCTGCGGCTTTTGGGGATGTGTGGGTGGGTGCATTGCCATGATGGAGGAGCCAGTTGTGGTTGCACCAATGTTCTGGTATTTTTTGTTGCAGATTTTCTCTCAAGCATCTCAAAACATCACAGTAAAAATCAGAATTGACTGCAGTGTTAGGAGAAACAAATTCACAGTGAACAATCCCCTTCACATAAAAAAAAGACAATGAGCATGCTCTTTGTTGAACTCCAGACCTGCTGCACCTTTTGGCTCTTGGTGATTGTGGGCTCTTCCATTGCAACAATTGTTGCTTTGTTTCTGGATCACAACCATAAATCCAACCTTTTTCACCTGTTATGATCCTAGAGATAAAAGTTCGGTCCTTGTTAGCTTTCCCTTGTAGCTCAAGACACAAGTTTACGCGCTGCTGCTTTTGAACATTTGTCAAGAGTCAGGGAATAAACTTCACGGCAATGGGGTGAAGGTTCAAATTTTCTATTAGGATCTGGCAAACTATATAACTGATCCCAAAGGTGTCTGTGAGCTCATGGACTGTTCGGCAACAGTCTTTGTGAATGAGTTCTTGAATTTTTTGCACAGATTTTATGTCATTTTGCTTGTGCTTGGTTGCCCTGAATGTTCACCATCTTCACTGATACTCAACCAGCCCTGAAACGTGAATGCTATTCAAAAACCGCTGTCTGGCTTAAAGAATGTTCTCAAACAGCCTCAGATAGCATTTGAAGGGGTTCGGTAGTGGATTTACCAAGCTTCATGCAAAACTTGATGCAGACACATTGATCAATTCTGCCATCCATCGCACACAAAATGAAACACGCAGTTGAAAAAGCACTCATGTAAAAACAATGCACGATCATGGTGCAGTGTCATGTGGCAGACTGATGCAATAGGCTTGCGGAAGTAAGACCTTGGCCTCCATTCTCATCTTATTTCACTGAGACAGTTAACACTGAATGCAACGGTGTGGGTCAAAACATGTCTATCATGTTGCAACACTCGTGAATCGAGGACCATCTAGGCCTCAGCATCAGGTAGTGGTGAGTAAGTTACCTTCATAGTATGCCCCCTTTAACCTTTTGGAAACATAATGTTGGTAGGAAACTGGATATGCCACCAAACTTCAATTATGCAGCCACTTCCCTGATTGAGCTGTCCTGGTGAATTATATTATTTTGTAATAATAAATTTAATATATCATTTGTCATATCAGCCAAAAGCATGAAAAGAAGAGAAAACACATTTACACTTTCTGTATGACAGACATGTTTTTACCATTTAGGAAACCCAAACTTTCAGAATACCTTTCCCTGAAGGGTTAATACAATTTTTATTCCTGACATGAGCAAAATTTAATTCTGTTTATGACTAGAAAGAAGTATGGAAAAAATAAAGCAAGAAAAATTATTATAAATTGTTTCCACAACTTCCCAAAGCATATTTTTTTCTACATTCGTTTTGTGAAACAACATGGAATTAAAAAAAAGAACACACACACACACACACACAAACTTGGATCTCCCTGAAGGATGTACTCAGTCCAGTCACTGCTGATCTACAAGCCTAACTGTTCCATCCTGGCTCCTAAGCAAAAATGAAGGGAGAAATCAAAGTGTTAAGATCCTTTGTTTCTGTTACTGCAGGAACATGATGTAATTGACAAATTTCTGTCTTTTGTACAAGCCATTTTTACTGCTACAGCAGTATATGGTCTGGAAAAAGTCTACTGTCTCTGATTAGACTGTCATGTGTTGGAGTACAACATGTCACCCTCCTTCCACAACGCAGCTGCAACCACCACTTTGCTACTTCTCGTTATACTTTTCACGTGCAACCCAGAGGCCAGGTCTAAAAATGCTGCCTTTAAATAATCATGACTCTGTCCTGTATTTTGTGAGTAACAATGAATCATGCAATACAGATGATGATTTTTCATCTAATACTAGCATTCATTCTGGTGATAAACAGAAGATGTAGGGTGTAAAACTGATGTGAAAATGAGTTACGAAAGATTTCTCAGAATCACAAGACTGAATAGATTCTTTGGTATCACTGATGGTGTTACTATGTGATCTAATTTTGACCATGGTCAGGATGCTCAATGATGGAAAATATCACCTAAAACACTGAACATTACCATTTCAGAATAAAAATCTTTTAGGCCTGAGAATTTTTATGGGATAAGTTAGAAAGCACAACATGAAAGACTATGGTCACTTGACCTCGCAATGTGCCACCAATTTTCCCCTACATTGTGAGTGAAAACTCCTTTGGAATGGATAAATAGAGGTCCTACATGATTTGCAAGGGAATCTTGTACAATCTTTCCTGAAAAACGTGGTAAGTTCTGTTATCGATGATGGAGGTGGATAGCACGCACGCAGACTGCTCTCCAAAACAGACCACAAAGGCTCAATAATATTGATATCTGGCCATTGTGGGGGCAATGGCAGACGTGACACTTCATCTTCGTGCTCAGAAAACCAGTCCTGGACAATGTGAGCTGTGTGAAAATGGGCACTGTCGTCTTGGTAAATGGCATCACCATTAGGGAACAAAGTTCGCACCATGGGATGGACCTGGTCGCCCAAAATGGTCACATAGTTGTTGGCAGTGATGTGACTTTGTAGGGTAATGATGGGTCCGACAGAATACCACGATATGGCTGCCCATACCATGATCGAACCCCCACCATGTTTCACTCTTGGCAGCAAACAATATGGATCGTAAGCTTGGGATGGCGTTCTTCAGACATAAACTTGGCCAGAAGTCGGAAACAGTGTGAAGGTGGACTCATCCAACCAAATGACTGTCTTCCATTGCTCCACAGTCCAGGTTTTATGACTTTGGCACCACACTGTCCTCTTAGTGGCATTCTGATCATGGATGAGTGGCTTTGGAATTGCAGCTCGTCCAGAAAAACCCTGCTTGTGGAGTTCCCTTCATACTGTTTTGGTGCTGACAGGGTTTGTGAGTGTGACATTCAGTTCAGCAGTCATTTTTTGCAGCTGCAGTCTTCTTATTTTTCGTCACAATCCTAAGCAATGTTCGTCTGTCTCAATCACTCAACACACATTTCCGTCCACGCTGGTGTTTATCGGATGCAGTTTTTTCAGTCCTCCTGTATGCGGTCATAATCTTGCATACTGTGTCTCGTGAAACACCAAAAACCCTCAGCTACCTTGGTTACGGAAGCACCCACCATATGGGCCCCAACAATTTGTCCACATTCAAATTCTGTTAGCTCTGACGTGATGCACAAAAAATTGTACAGAACACTGTCTCGACAACAAACGAAGCTTGCAACATATTGTGGAGGTTGTACAGGTAGTGGTGTTGGGCAGATGCAACAGTGTGACCTACAAACGTCACTAAAATAAACACTTCAATTCAAGCATGCATTTCATGAGGTGTTTCCATATTTTTGTCCATCCCCTGTATAATTCATGGGATGAAACTGGTGATTGGGAAAGAAAGAAACCCAGATGTATTTCAGAATACAATAAACACATGAAAGGCATTAAAATGGCCAATCAGTACCTACGTTGATATTCTATCCACAGAAAAACAATCAGATGGTCCAAAAATTTGTATTGTATCTTCTGAATTGTATACTACAAAGTTTTTCCATGAGGTTGGGAGGACATGCATTACCAAAAAGCATAACACAACTGAGTTCAGTTCAGAAGATGATACTAATCATCCAGTGACGGAACCAACACCACGGGGGCCCAAAGACCTTTCAGGCAGACTATCAGGGGACTTCAAAGGGCTTAGTGGAATGATACAAATTTGAAAATTCTGCCATGTTCCACTGCATACAGGTTCTTGCTTTGACAAATTCCGTTCCATGAAGTACCACTGAACCACCTACATGCAGTTTTCACATAATTCAGCTCCAAAGCATCATCTGAAACTTAAAAATGTAGGTGTAAAGTTGCTCCCTGCCTCACAGAGTATGTAAAGTATCTGGGAACTGGAGTATTTCATAACATTTACATACTGGTATGCGATGTGTTGACATAACATGCTAGCAGCAGATGGTCTGGATTAAAACAGTCACCAAGCATGTTAGAGGAAGAGGCAAAACTTCTAACTTGTACTCAGGAGACACCAGGTTGGTATGCAGCCTCTTACACTGGCTATCATGACTGAAAATTTTTGTGGTAGTATGGGGTCCCTGCAGTCCTTTAACCCGAAGAATATTTCAAGAATATTCCTGGTACTTATTTCTGTTAGAGGCTGAGTTGACCCCAGGGCCATAGTGCGGCTGGAAGGATTAGGTCAATTGAAAAAAAAAATCCAATGACCTCATCAGGACTGGAACCCGCGACCTTCTGGTTGTAGCATAGTGCCTCAACCAACTATACTACTGTGTGCCCCCTCACTGCTTAGATAGTGCCTTAAAATAGGCTGCAATTGCTTCTTCCAAAATCCTTTCAAGTTTAGAGAACACAAGTATTAATTCATACTATTCTATACTACATAACTACTGCAGCTTTTACAGTGTCATTAAAATCATCTGCAATCCACCCATCCATGAATTAGGAAAAGTCTTACCATTGGCTCTTTAATGGAGGATCTGAGAGAATCTCGGTTACGATGCGAGCCCCATGAATGGGCGGATTGGAATACATGGGTCGGACAATGATCTTGAGCTGTGAAAGAGTAGTCTGTGCTGCTTCGTTGCTGTTCGTAATGAGAGAAAATGCTCCAGCTCTCTCACCTGAAATCAGAACATGAATGAAATCTGCTATTCTATTAGTGCCATCTTCAGAAAAATGTGGTTTATGTTGTTGCATGCTGTAAAGGCATCACACTGTTGGAGTAAAAAACTGGCTATTATCATTCTTACATGCGTCACAAATGCATATGAACTGCACTGTTAACATGCATTCCTATAAACATTACTTCTAATGTTCTTACAAATTCCAATAGATATTTACATCCTTCTATGAATATATTCCCAGCAGTTCATATAGAGGGTAATTGGTCTTACGGTGACACAGCTATGTTTTGGACGAATGTAATCAGCAGAACTGTTGAGACTCTACTGCAGTGATTCTGATTCATGGGCTGGCAAAACAGCAGTAAATTTTCTGAGGATGGGCACTCTACATATCTTACACTGTACAGTACAAATAATAACCCACAAATGTCAGCATGTCAATCAAAACATTTATTTTTTATGCAATATTTAATGCCTATACACACTTATTTGAATTCAAAACCACAAATTGCCACACACATTACAAATTAGTTATAAAGAAATGAAGGTGGAAGATGAAGGAGCCAACTGTAGTCCTCTTTCACACAAAATTCTTGTTTAATATGAATTCAATTTTGACAGTAAAAGGAACAGAGGCACAAAATAAGCTAGCTTACCAAAAAAAATCACAATTTAGGTATGAAACAGCACTGAAGACATAACCAACACCAAGCTTCTTGGTTTATGTAACAAGTCAACAGTGCATCATACTATGTAATGAGCTTATAATATGGACATCAAAGTGAAAAATTCAGAAGATAAAACCTTGTAACAAAAACGTTTAATATAAAAGTAAAAAAAGTAAAGCTATCCCAGTACCAGGCCGTGAAGGCCCATAGGGTTGTGAGACGTTGAGGGTCCCACATTACCTAGACAATCGGCTCGAAGATGGTGGTAAGGTTGTCAGCCTTACGCACCGGCCGCACTTTACTCCCCAGGAAAATTATTTAATTAATTCCTGGTACTCATTTCTGTTAGAGGCTGAGTTGACCCCAGGGCCATAGTGCAGTTGGAAGGATTAGGCACATTATATCAACAGGCATACATTTCATAAAAGAGGTTTCAGCAAAAACAAACTTCAGATTTTTCACAATTTATTTTGCACAAAAAGTTAAAAACTAAAGTGGAAAAAAATATATCAAAATTCATGAATAAGGATTAGTTTTATTAATCTTACCATAGAGTCCCATGTTCTTGGCATAAGACTGTGTCAAAGCTATTTCATGACCATTCTTTACGAAGTGTCGAACAGCAAAGGCATCTCTTGCTACGTCACCTAAATAAAAATTACAATGCAGATAGTATCCGTGGTACATTCAGTTTATTCTGAACAGAATGCTTGCCTGTCAAAACTACTCAATTACATGTAAACAAAGCAGTATCATCTGCTTTGCTTATAAGATCTTTTCTTTCAACTTTGATATTCCTTACTACAGAATGCAACTAGTAAACACGATTACAGCAATTTTCTCGTAAAAAGGAAATTTATATAATTATATGCTGTTAACTAAGGTAACAAACAAAACAGATCACAATACAGAAACAATTACAAGAAAAGGAAATGGGGAGTATAAAGGCAGCAGAACAAAGTAAGCTAAAATATAAAGCAGCCTTAATTACTTTTAATACTTCAATAAATATAAAATTAAAGAGGATTGCCCATAGAAGGTTGCACTTCATGCCACTGGTTAAGGTTTTCACCAATTCTTTGTGTAGTGTCATGTGGTATAGCTCTGCATTTTCTTGCAGCTTGCAGATTTGCAGGCAGGGAATCATGAAAATTCACACTTCAGACATTCCCATAGATGGGTGTCTGCCAACAGGAGATCCAGAAACTGTAATGGTTTGAATTCAGTTAGTGCAGAAACAAAGTGCCCCTGGAAAGTTTAGTGCACCATGTCCAGGACTTCCCTAGCCATAATGGTCATAGCCAGCCTTCAAATAATTCTCTTCCGAGACAAAAGTTGCTGGAGCAACAGAATCAAATCTTTTACACCACCATCTATAATGTATGATCTGCTGATTGTTATTATCAAAATTGAATTTCATATGCTTCTATAACAACATTAAAATTTGATCCCCTGCTATCATCTTTTTCGTTCATATGGAAAAAGGTGTTCTGTGATAAAAACAAACCCTTTTAGACACATTCACTACACTTTTGTGGCCTCTTTACCCAATTAAAAATGCAATGAAACTAGCAACTATCTCTGATATACTGCAAAATGTATATATAGCAGATGTGTACTCATGATGCACTGTCAACTTTGGGGCTACTTTATACATGGCTGTATTGAATACTTAGAAGCAGAGATCTTAAAATGTGGCTATTAAAATTTTCTGTGATGTAACAACTCAAATCACCTAGCCACATGCCATAAACATCCACATGTACCGATTCTTCATTTGTATTTTTTGAAAATTTTCACTTTTCAATTCTGATCAATTTTATGGTTGTGCAAACAACCAAGTCATTTACAGCTCCAAAAGTTCCTATATGAAATAAAAACATATCAGTGGGACTACAGGGACACTGGAATGTAACTAGTCCACAGCACCCTGATTTTAAATTTGTTCTGATTACTAATATATGCAATACATTCTTGCAGAGTTTGAACTATAACAACAATTACAAACTAACACGTAATTTTGGGGATAAAACTGTCATGCCAAAGAGTCAATGGATATGACATTCTACACTAATTTGAAGTGGGTTAAATGTTCCATACACCAGCAAAATTATATTTGTAACAGCGATCTCAAATCATCATTATAGACTTGTTTAGTCATTGTACTATATTTTAAATTTAACTTCTTTAATATGCCACTTCCTTGTCATAAATGTAACAGAAACAAAGTTAGTTGTACTTATGTCATCAGCCCTACCATCAATTGTAAGTGAATCGTTACTCAGCATTGTAAAATAAAAATTGCACTGCTTTGTTTTATATACTTTTGCATTTTGCCCTTTAACTAATTATACCTTTAAAATTAATTAATTACTGTGCCCTTTAATAAATATATATATATATACAGTGTATGTCAGGGGTATAGTATGAAACTTACACACTATATACAATTTCTAGATATTTTATAGAAAATGCCCAACAGCTTTTGGCAAAGTGTGAAATTTTTAAGTACTTACTATTTCTTTTATATTTTGGCTAGATATTTTATAGAATGATAACAACTATTTAGCAATGTTAATAGGACAAAACTGAACGTTACGGAAACACTCATATGTGATTTACAAAATAACAAAGGATTTGTTTTCTTTGATTAGTTATTTAACATATCATATATTGCTTTTCTGCACAGGGAAACTTAAATGAACTCTCTTTATTCTTTAATATTATTTAACATTTTTAAAATCCTTTAATAGTCGTTTTAAAATTACCTCACGGATAAGGTACTGACTAAAGCTGGATGATTTGAATTCAGTCTCTGGAGAGTGAGAATTTTTTCTTTGCTATACTCTGCAGATGGGTCCTGTGGACCACCCATCCTCCTGTTCAACAGGTGCAAAGGGGTAAAGCGGCAGGAGTGTGAAGTCGATCAGTCCTAGGTAGTGACAAGGCCTAGAATGTGTGGTGCATTAGCTTAATTCCCTCTACATACATTCATGACAAGGTTAGGCAAGGCAATTGACCTTTTACATCCGAACTGACAACAATGTTAGCTAGTCCCTTTGTAGGCCTCAGTGTCAAAAGGGTAACAGACTCTTGGAGCAACGGGTGGTGCAACAACATTCTGATGACATTAATAGTAATGATGTTACTAGTATACAGATAATGTGTTAATGAGAAGATGCAAATTAAAACTATGCAGACTTGAGGGCTGGTTCCATCAGGCACTAGAAGAGTTACCAGTACACATACCATGGCACATGCCAAGTCATAAAAAAGACCGGCATTAACACAGTTCATATTTTGCAAGTGGACATACAACAAACCTCACCCATAAACCACAAATACTGAACAATTATATTTGTGTAAAAATAAAAATTTATTCTAAAAATTAGCAGTTTTTAATTTAATAGACTTTATGTCCTTTTTCTCGATAACAAGAAACCTAAGTTACAAAACTGTATTAAACATAAAAAGAATCAGTAACATGCTTAACCAACTGAGGCTGTAAGGCACAGATTAATTTAAAACTGAATGACTCTTGTGACAGTTCCTTGAGTTTTGCAAACCCAGCTTTTCATGACCTTGTCCTACCACTCTAATTTCAACATTACTTTCCTCAGCCGCCCCAAATTCATTAATACTTCACAACAACACAGTTCTATTTTAAAATTCTATGATTAGGCCAGATTAGTTCACATATACTGTACTAGACATACACACAAATTCCATTGCATATAAAATGACTTGCTTGAATTTGGATGAAAATTCTTCAAAAAATCAGATGAAGGCAATAATACAGCAAGCTGAAGCAGTGCCTACAAATCACAAGAAATACAAATATAACCAGCTTTTGATATCTAAATTAAGATGCATGCTATACGAATGCAAATTTAAACAGGAAGTAAAACTGGCTTACTAGATGCAGAGCAGCAAACATTTCAAACAGTGTAAATATGCACAACACATTTGTACCTGTAACCATAACTTCTTACTCTGAATATTTTTAATTATTAGCTACAGTTATAATATAAATCACACTAAAACACTGTGGTAAATGAATTCAATGGTTAGCACCACTAGTACCAAAGCCATACGTCAGATATGGTTCAGAGTTATTCCCAACCTATCTTACCAAGATTCATTTTAATGGTTATCCTTCGATTTCCTTGGTTTTCCAAGTGGTCATTTTCCATCAAAATTCTATATGTATTCATCATTTCCCCCTATCCCAGCCATATGCACAGACCACCACAGCCTCATAGATGTAACAATCATAACAGTAGCTAACCTGTTTATATTACAATGTTCTTCATTATGTAAAATGTTCATTTAATTTACACATTTGAATACTGGTTAGAACCACAAAGTTAGAAGGTGGTTTGTTGGTTAATTATCTGTTTATATATTTGAAAGTTTCTCAAGCCTCTTAAATTTAATAATACACACTTCCTAGCATGCAACTGGAAGCTTTCTGGAAGTATTAAAATATATACATTTACAGTATGGATTTCTACATCAGAAACATATGGCAATGACAAATTTTATGCCATTACTGACTGTTCAGTCATAAGTTTATTTCTGCCTTCTGGGCAGGTGTAACAAAAATGTAACTGCATATCATTTTTCATTGCATCCTAGCATGAAGGCCTACTATTATGTTGAGCCCGTGTGATGTGCTGTCATAAACCCAAATACCCTACCATCATCCTTCAACCCATTTCTTGCAGTGGGGTGAGACTGAGACACACTTGGTACATCAGCCACTATTTGGCCTATGGTACCAGCCCCAGATGGTAGGTGATGATGAATGAAGAGCAGCTGGTGGAACTAGAATTGTCAGTGAAACAGAATTACTCAGAAAAGGCTGCCCCAGTGCCACCATGTCCACCACAAATCCCATGTGACATGACTTGGGATCAAAATTACGCCACTGTTGTGGGAAGCCAATGACTGCCTGAGCTATGGCATGGTCTTCCTTCAACTCATACTAAACAGCCTAATTCACAAATGTACTCTTCAGAAATGGAAGACAAAATGCTGTGCTTCTAAGAAAACATAACAGTGCAAGAAATATTTAGTGACAAGACAAGCCAGCAATAAATCTTTTAGTTTCTGTTCTTGTCCCTTCCTATTTATATCATCAACTGACTCTTTTTATTTTAGTATCTATGATGGTGAATAATGTCCACACCTGATGCAAATCCTTGGTATGCCATGTCAAAAAATGGGAACAGTTTCTTCTGCTGGACAACTTTAGAAATTTCTGCCCATTGTTCAGGTTTTGGATCCACTCCTGTAGGATTGTGAGCACAGGCATGAAATAAGATGATGGATTTCTCTGGAATTTTCTGAAAACAACATAGTTAGTAATGAAATGTTTGTTGGAAGGGAGCTTTAAATTATAATTCATAATATGAAATATATATAACAATTATTTATGAATTTTATTACATTTATTATGAGTTCATTCATAATACAATACAATTAAAGTCAACTAATAAAAGTATGGTATAGAAAAGAAAACCACACAGAATAGACACTCTTTAATGAAGGGTCAATTTTGTAACATCAAATACAAATATAAACATTACGAGGTAACAGTGAAGGGAACACCTGAAACAAACATAAAATTGAGGAAAGTGTAAAACCTGGGAAATGAAAACAAAGTAACATGAAAAATGTGGGTTCCTTTTATAACTACAGCAAGCCATTTGGAATTTGCATGTTTGAACATAATAACAGGAACATTTTTAGTGTTCAAGGAGAGTGTTTAGTTAAGAACAATTAATTAAATATAAAAAAACTCTCTCTCTCTCTCTCACACACACACACACATAATCAAAATAAAAATGAAACCGCGGCATCCCTTGTTACATCACTGCGGCAATGGCTGCCCAACACAGTTGCTCTTCTGTTATGTTACCGCAGGGGAGGGGGTGTTTACTGAGTGTTGCATACTGATGGAAGGAGTGGGGGTATGTGACATCACTCGCGAAACCACAGAGTTCACATGACCCCTACTTCCCGTTGCGCCATCCCCGTCACAGTTATATGATGAAAGATGTGTTTTGGAAATTATTTACAGCAGTACACTAATCAAACTCGTTTTACTTTTCCTTCAATTACATATTATTACATACTTACAGCAATATCTTGCAGAGCCCCCTGGAAATCAAACCCACAAGTCTTTGGATCATAATATCGATACTGCTTCACACTGAGGCCTGAGTGTTTGAAGATAGGGGTGTGATTACCCCATGATGGTGTTGGTAAATATACTTCTTTGTTGCCTGGAAAAAAGTTTGCCAGGAAGGCTGCACCGATCCTCAGAGACCCTGTACCTGAAATCCCTTGTAGTGTGGCATTCTGAAATAAAAACGAATATCAACAATAACCTAAGGAAGTTAGTATGAGTAAAAATTAAAAACTGGCCTTTTCATGACATGAGCCAAATAGACTGGCTTGGTGCACTTGCGTTGAAACTGCCACGGCTGAGGACATCACCTTGATGTTATATCACTAAGCACATCATTTCTGCCAACAGATGGCATGAAGTACAACAATGAAACCAAGATTTTACACTTTTTGAGGGGCTGCCTAAAATACATGTAAAATTGAGGGAAGCGTAAAATCAGGGAAATCTACTTGTATATACAACATCTACACACACAAACCATTTAACATAACTAATCTAGCAGCGTGGCAAAACCCACAAGCCAAGCACATACAACAAAACTGATAACAACACTACATTAACATCCTTACAAACTGCACAAATAACATGCATAATACCCATGCCACAAAGAGAATACAGGGCGAATAAATTCAACAATGAGAAATACTCTCAAGCAAATATCTTGTAAAATAATGGATGATGAGCACAACGAAAAACATTAAGATGTTAATTAATTTTAATTCAAGATTAATCCATTTTAATTACGAAATATTGTGTTCACACACAATACATAATTTGACATACAGTGCAACAATTTTAGCAACAGAGACAGCACCTGATAATGGCTGTGTTCGGCTGAAACATGTAGTGAGGAAGAAGGGTGACCAGACAAAAAGTTCCATTTAAGAAGGAAATAAATATGTAAAAAAGATATATTAATGCAACAGAATGTTTAAATACAATACCTTGTAGGTAAGTTCGAATGGTCCAATATTACTGTTCAGGGAGATCAAGTCAGAGGCAAATGTATGCACACAGAACATTTTTAAACTAATAAAAATTGGGCTTTAAAAATAAAATTCCATAATAAATAGATCAATAATGGAGTCAGTGAATATTATAACAAGAGGTCACAAAGTATTACTAGAAAGTATAAGTCTGATCACTACAAACTTAAAAAATCATCACATCTCAATGCAATTATATCAGCCTGGTTTCAAACCAACAATTCACTGGTATCTGCTGGCAAGGGCTCTATTCTTTTCTTCTAAAGATCACAGCTACTTACCAGTCCATTTTTTGATTGTTCATTGTCCTCTCCTAGGGCTAAGTTGATGGACAGACTACAGAACTCTGCACTACCAGCAATAGGCGCATATTCCTTATCCAACTTCTTTGTACTTAATCGTTCCTCTGCCTAGAAAGCAAAAAAGATATGACAAGAATTAGAACCACATACGTATTGTGACATGATGTCTGAAGACGGGATAGATGGTCACTGCTAAGGCTGGGGCCACATGAGTGCACAAAATGTGTCCGTTTAACGAACGTACTTTATGATGGATGTTGCTGAGGACACCACACAGTTGCAGAACGTGGTGCATAGTTTTCTGTCTGCAATGGAGCCAGAAGAAAGCACAGCATTCACCTCTCCTGTTTATTTCTACAACAGACATTATGACATTCGTTACAGCGGGCGCGTTCTGTGCGCTCATGTGGCCCCAGCCTAAGAAGCAGCTCAGTAAACACATACTCAAGGCAATGGATATCAACACAACAATAGAAGAACTGCAGGAAGTGGTGTCTTTTGTGCAGTCTGTGCCAAGGACACATAATAAGGACGAATCCAAACCCTGTGCCTAGTCACTAACACATGGCAATACACAGGGTGTTTCAAAAAGAGCTTTAAAACTTGGAAAGCTTATATAAACTTATAGAGGATATACACAATATTTTGAACTGTCATAATGTAGCAAAACACACTGAGTTTTACCTCGGATAGTTATGGTTCAATGTGACTTCCATTGGTAATGCGGCAGACGTCCCACCTGTAGTCAGTCTCTTAACCACATCCTACGTTGCATCTCTGCAACTGAGGCAGTAATTCGAGTTCGGAGCTCAACGACATTTGCAGGCAAAGGTGGTACGAACACTCTTATCTTTAACGAATCACCATAAGAAAAAATCCAGGGGAGTAAGATCCAGGGAACGAGGTGGCCAAGCTATCGGCGCCGCTCTACCAATCCATCAAGCTGGGAAACGGGTGTTGAGGTACTGGCACACTTCTCCAGGGTAATGAGGGGGTGCGCCATCTTGCTGGAAGTGAAGGCGGCCTTCTTGGTCATCTTCGTCTAACTGTGGAATGTGGAACTCTTGGAGCACGTCCAGATATACGATACTGGCAATGGTTGTCTCCATGAAGAAGGGGCCGTACACTCTTTCTTTGCTGAGGGCACAAAACACATTCACCTTTGGGCTATCACGAACATGTTCCAGGGAGACACGTGGATTTTCGCTGTCCCAGATTCACTGACATGAAACACGTTCTCATCACTGAAAATTAAGGAGTCCAAAAACTTCTCATTGTCTTGTATCTGATGAAACATTTGCATACAGAATTCCTTACGAACAACCTTATCTGCATCCATACGGTGTTGAACGATGGATAGTTTGTATGCTTTTAGGTGGAAACGTTTTTGTAACACAGTAACATTTGGAATACCAGTTTCCTGAGACGCATGTCGCGTTGACTTTCGTGGACTTCGAATGAAGCTCTCCTTAATCTGTTCCACTGTAGCGTCAGAAACACGTGGCCGACCGGGTGGCTTGGCATGGGGCATAGAACATCCAGTCTGAACAAAATTCTTGTGCCAGGAGTAAACTGTAGGCCTACTGGGAGGTTCCTTGCGATACTAAGTGCGAAATTTCCTTTGAACTTGTGTAGCAGACTTTCTTTCTTCAAACCAAAACACACAATGAGCACACTCTGCACCTGTGAAAGTAGCCATCTTGATTTCAACTGCAGGAGCGCTCGTGGTGGTGGTACAGGGTGCTACAGTACCACGTGCATGAAACTCGATGTGTTTTGCTACATTATGACAGTTCAAAACGTTGTGTATGTCATCTGTATAAATTTATTTAAGCTTTCGAAGCTGTAAAGCTCTTTTGAAACACCCTGTATAGTGGTCAAACTAAATGTTAAAGGATTCATATCTGAGAGTGTAAAATTACAGAGATGTCCATTTGCTTAGGTACACACATTATGAAATACATTCCACAACATATAAGGATGTACTGATTGCTCACATGGTATCTAAGTTTTGTTTCTCAAAACCACTGACAACACTTCATAAATACACTACAGGATACAAAGAACATCATTTCAGTGTTCACTTGTGCCTGTACACAGAAGTATTTCCGTTAGTACTCAAAGAACACAGTAAGAATTATTAAGTAAATACATTAGTCTCAAGATTACTGAGTTTCTGGGATCTGTCCACCATTTAATATTCTAAAAAGAACTTTGATGTATATGAAATGCAAATGCAAAGCCTTCTTTCATACAATGTTTATACAATATATAAAATAGGACAGAATTTTTATGGTGCATTAAATACCTTGAGAACACTTGGAAGGACGTAAGGTTTGCCATTGTCATCACGATATGCTCCAACACCAAGGTTTATTTTCTTTGGATTGGTATCTCGTTTATATGCTTCTGTAACCCCAAGAATAGCATCTGGTGGGCCCATCTCTACATGAGACCACCATGAGCTAAAACAATATATACAAAAATACTGTGAGAACAAACAGTCAAAATTAAAATGAAGAGTGCACATTCTGCAAATATTATTTTTATTTTGCTCCCAATGTTCATCTATTAGACTGTCATCAATTTGTTAAGTTTCAATATTAACAGTATGTATGATTAAAGGAAATTTTGAGATTGCAGGTCAGACCTTTACTTCCCATTACTGATCAAATGTTTTCAATGAAGAATCTATGTAGGGAAGTCAAAAATTATCCACACTCTTGTCTTTCCAATCCATATATACAAAAGTAGGGGTTGAACAAGTACTTCATTTTTCTATATAGCCTCCTCCCTTCTAACCATGTCAATGGCTCTTAGTTTCTAACAGCAGTTCCATGAATGACACATGATATTCTGTTACACCTAAACAGCTAGGATATCATTTGTTTCTATTTTTATATTGTTATTTAATACTTTACTGTTCCTCTATGTACATCCAAACTTTTTATGTTTGTACTATGCGTGTGTTTGTATGTTACAGGTCCTTCCCTAGTCATATAATGGATCTAGTAAGAGTAACTGCCTTCAAACTGGGACTAATAGTCCAACATGTGAGACGTGTCAAGAAGAAAATGAAACAGTCACACATATCCTGTGTGAATGTGAGGCCTTGGCTTCTTTAAGATTACGTAACTTGGGTCAATATTTTATGGAACCAAGTGACTATTCGGACGTCCCCAAGTAGAAAATCCTGCGCTTCATTTGAAAGGTGAAGGTGACGCACAACAGATCAGTGTGGTCATGGTGAAAGGGCGAAGAGGGCCCAACCCTTGTACATTCATTCATTCATTCATTCATTCACGAGTAACTGAATCTAAATAAATGCCTGACTGCCTCGTATTACATAACATTCCAGGGTAAATTTCCCCACACTGACGGTATGTTGTATGAATAGAGAATTGCCACTTCGTTTAAACCAAAAGTCGTAATGAAACTTCACGAACATCAGTGAACTGGCAACACTACGTGAATGATATATTTTGTGGGATAAAAGTGTAAGCAATAGTTGACAACAATTACATTTTACACGAAAGTGAATTCAACACTGTTACACCGGCATCAGGAAGAGCATGACCTTCACTTTGACCCCACGAGGCAAACCTCACCGCACAAAACTGTAAATTTAATGCCACTTAAAATAGTATTTTACAGTTTTCAACGGAGGCATACCTCGCTCTGCAAGCACCGGAACCATTGCCATACTGAGTATTTTTCAATAAAGTGGCTGAAACAAAAGCTTTTCTCACACAATTCGCCATCTTCCTTCGCTAGCAACCTCACCCACATGCCAGATACGGCCGACAACAGAATCGAACTGAATTGACTAAGATAAGCTCGATGAGCCTCGATGAGCTCGATCGAGCTCGATATCGTCGCCACCGCTAGCCACAGTCGTTACCACTAACCGCAGCTGCCGTAGAGCCGTAGAGTGCAAAACGCTAATGTAGTCAGTTGCGGTCAGTTGTGTAGACCGCGTTGACAGCACCTTTGAGTGGAAATTAATAAAAACACGCCGTGCCGGCTTCGTCCCGATCGGTCTTGTCCTGTCTTGGACCACGGAAGTGGAAGACAAGGAAGGAGAGTGAGAAGAGGTGATGTGTTGTTGAATATAGTTCGAGTGATACGGAGTGAATGATTAAAATATTTTGTAACATATGAGAATATTTATTAACAAACAGTACTGTTCATGTAATTTGCCCGATAGCACTTTCCTGTTGACCAAATGATGGAACGCTTTAGAGGTTAGTACACTCAGAAGGAAGTCCTGAGTTTGAGGTTATAGCGGTTACTATGAAAAGTACTGTAGTCTGGCACGTAACGTTGCGAGTAGCACAAATGGGGAAGAAGATGAATGCATATAGGAGATTGGTGGGAAAGTCAGAAGGAAAGTGCCCACTAGGAAGACCAAGATGTAGGTGGGCGAATAATATTAAAATGGATCTTAGAGAGGTAGGATGGGGTAGTATGGACTGGACTGATCTTGCTGAGGATAGGGACCAGTGGAGGGCCCTTGTCAACACAGTAGTGAATTCTTGAGTAGTTGTACAATTGGCGGCTTCTCAAGAAGGCTCAGTTCCAAGAAGTTAGTTAGTTAGTGTTGAATGATATGACTAATGATCTGAGGTAAAAGGAAAAGTAAAACTGTCCTTATAACAACCCATGGAGGCCCATAGGTTTGTGAGATGTTGAGGCTCCAACATTTTGTAGATAATAGGGCTGCAGATAGTGGTGAGGTAATAGCCTTACGTGCCAGCCGCCCTGTATCCCCAGGAAGATTCCTGGTACTCATTTTTGTTAGAGACTGAGTCAGCCCCAGGCCATAATGCAGCAGGAAGGTAGGTCAAATGAAAAATCAAATGACCTCATTAGAAATCGAACCTGTCACCTTCCATCATGTAGCATAGTGCCTCAACCAACTATGCTACTTCATGCACCCCCAGTAATTTGAGGTCATTCTTTAATTGGAATCACTTCTTAAAACTTGGGGCCAGTTGTCTGTAACACAGACTTTCTTCTGCCTTATGAAGCAAAATTGTACTTCACATAGCTCAAGTGGAGTATATGATGGAGCACGTTTCTTTGTCATGTGGTTCTTTACCTGTTAAATTATAGTAATGAAACTTTTCTTGCCAACTTTGTTCCTGAATAACCCTATTGTTCAGTTGTCCTGAAAGTATTGCTTAGAGCATATAAACCCCTTGTTTTATATATGGAAGAAAACAGATAGAGGATATAAAATAACCAATTGCTGAGGAGAATATTTGGTTGTAAGGGAGACTAAGTGGGGCACACAGTAGTGTAGTTGGTTGAGGCACTGTGCTACAAGCTGGAAGGTGGTGGATTTGAATTCAGATGAGGTCATTGGATTTTTCAGTTGACCTAACCTTTCCAGCCACAACATAGCACTGGGGTCGACTCAGCCTCTTAACAGAAATGAGTACCAGGAATCTTTCTGGGAAGGAAAGGGTGGCCGGTACATAAGACTGTTTTTAGAATGTGGGCTTGGACTTCTCAAGAGATAAATGAGGCTCTAGTATGTGCTGTCTTCAATGTTCAAACTCTGCTTGGATAAGTTAAAACAATACTTGCAACTTCCTTCTATTAGGGAAGAGTAGTTTGATGAATGTCACACTGCCTTCTGCAGGTGTGAATATGGTAAATATTAGCCCCCCCCCATGCCCAAATCTAGTTCTGTATAGTGCAGTTAGTTTTGCAGCAACAAATTGTTACTTGCAACAAATGGATATAAAAGCAAAAAATATTCAGAGTAGCAGAGTGTACATTTGGAAGATTTGGGTGCTCCAGAATGGCATACACATTCCATTCTTGTTTGGCGGGGTTCAGATAATAAGGTTTGATTTTTTCTTCTCTGGATTTTGAACTTCCTGCACTGATATTTGTTGACAATCCAAGGTTACATTACACTGAAACTCACCACATTTGGGAAGGAATTTATAGTGAAGATATTGCCTTTGCCTGGTTGGCATCTAATTTTGCCAGCATTTTGATTATTCACTGCATATCTTGCTTCTCCATTTTCTTTTAATAACACTCGATGTACTTGTGAATTCAACAATTCCTCTTAAATTGAGGCGTGTTTCAGTTCATAAGCACTTCTGACACCAAATTGTCACGTGTTGGGTATATGTCACGCGACAAATAACTTCACATCGTATTGAATATAGCGAATTTATTGCACTTGCTCTCACAATTACACAATTCACAATTTCCCAACTACTGCCATCGGCAGTATTACAAATACTTCTCCTGTTTCCATTCACTCCAGCAAATGCTAGACTGCAACTGACTCGGCGACTTCACGATCCACACTGTGTCACTCCTGATCACACATTTTCTGGTCACATACTGCTCAGCTGGCTTTTTATACCGTTCCATGTTGCCTGTGTCAACAGCGGTGTCCCATGTTACGTCACCGTGGGGAGGGGGCAGAGTGTTAACTGGCCTGTTACTGTAGCAGCGGCAGCACTCCAATGCTGTTACGTCACCGCTAGCGTGGGGGGGGGGGTCCTGCATAGCGCAAATATGTCACAGTATTCTAAAAGAAATTACCAGTTGTTATTAGTATGTTATGTGGCTTGATGAACAGATAGAAAATTTCAATTATCTTCAGAACCATTGGGACCTAAAGGCATATCCGGCTCTTTGTATGCCTGTGTTTAGCTCAGGGTCCTGTTTCACTGTCACTTTTAAAAAATTCATATCGTGATGAATCCACATCAATTTCTCATCCATCTGAAATAATTTAAAATGACTAACACAGATCACAATGTAAGATCTCTTACAAGCAATCTCCTGCAAACGTTCTCATGTCATCAGATGCAGTGTCAGAATCTGCTTCATTCTTATTATTCATTATTAATTACTAATAATTACTCATAATAGAAATGTAGTATTTGCATGTTGAACAGTGCTAATATCAAAGTCAATTATGAACCAATTAAATCCTCTTCATGTAACACTTCCCTAAGGTCTAGGAAGACATTCCAGATTTTTCCAATGGCTGCCTTTAAAGAGATTTCTTCACATACCTTTTGTATGGATTTCTTGTCCCTTCCAAGTCACATATTCAGACCAATATAATCTACTTTATTTAACTGTCTCTGTATGTATATATATATATATTTTTTTGTGATTTATTTTATGATGCTGTCAATACATAGACTATACAATGTCAGAGGGTAGGATGAATAGTGAATAATGAATTGGAAAGGATTTAGAAGGAAGTTGTGATGGCCTAGTCAAGGTACTTTATGGACATTTGTCCAGAGGGACTGAAGTAAATAACAATCTGTCAGTATAGTAGGTGTCCTAGCCAAGATTCAATCTGAGCACCTCCAAAATAGAACCTTGTAAAGTAACATCCTTCATTCCCCACTTCCTTAATTTAACAGGTACAGCTATGTTGTAGATCAGAAAAAGTGAACGGAATAGTCAGCATGTGAGGAGACAGTTAAGTTCTTTTGATGCTTACTATCATTTTGGATTTAAACACTTAAATTGCTTGTGAGTCTTTGATACCACACATACCTAGTTTAGAATTATGCCTAACCAAACATACTTATTTGTCATGCCAATTTTAAAATCTTAAGTTGCATTTCTTTGACCTTTAGCTCATACTCAGATTTTGGAAACCCCACAGATATGGATTATAACCTTGAAACTGAAAATATTTCTGTTAAGATCCTGTTTCATGTTCCAGAACATTCTGAAGAACTGGGAAATAATGAAATTGATGACTTGGAAGTAATAGGTACTCAAGCCAGTGCTGATGATGATATCTTTGATGCAATCATAGGACACATTGAAGACATTTTTATGGGTAAGAATATATATATATATGTGTGTGTGGTACAGTCATTAAGTTCGTGGATTGTGGTTTTTATCGCATACACTTACACAGATTCACATCAACCCTCAAATAGTTGCCGTTGGCGGCTATGGAAGTCTGCCAACCTTATATAACTGGCGAAAACATTGCTGAAACGTATTGGCAGGAAATTCCTGTACGGCGTCTCTTGTGGCATTGACGACCTCTTCGGACGACTGAAATCTGTGACCACGTAGCTTTGCTTTCAAGCGGTGAAAGAGAAAGAAATCACATGGTGCGAGGTCAGGTGAATACGGAGAGTGTGACAAAACGGTGACCTGTTGCCTTGCCAGTTCCTCTTGGACAAGAAGAGAGTGATGTGCAGGAGCGTTGTCATGTAGCCACAGCCAATTCTTCCTATGCCAAATGATTCACTAGGGGATTTGCCTAGTTTTTGGCAGAACTTGATGTTTGCCCGTTGTTCAAATGGCCAGTCCACGAACTTATTGACTATGGTTGTATATGCTACATTTTCATTTATCTACAATTTGCTAATTTATTTATTCAAATTTAACTCTGTATATGACACAAAGAATCAGTATCACTTTGAAAAAGTGACATGATACCTAAAGGCCAAAATATTGAGTCAGAGAAGTGGTGCAGAGGTATCCATTGCTACACAACAGCTTGTTAGGTTTTTTAAGAATGCTGTGCAGAAATTAAAGAAACATCTCTAAATTTTGTTCCTAAGTCACAAAAAGAATGATTTCATCACCATACTTAAAGAAATTCATATTGTAGAATGTCTTAAGTTACTGCACGTAACTGCATGTGTTCCATTATAAGTAACAGTCTTGATTGTCAGTCATCAAATAAGCACTGAATTTTCAGCTTCTCACTGCATGACTACACTTTTGTGTTCTCATTAACCCTTTTGCTACATATTATTTTCTCACCATAAAATAATTAAAAAATAGTAAGAGTAAAAACACCAAAAAGAAAGCATCAAAAATGCATTTTCATAGCCCAGTGAATGAATTCAAGCAATACAGGAAAAGGAGATTATTTTTTGATGTGGACTAAAGGTTGATGTTGCACTACACAGTAAGGGATACTTATTTGATTTCAGTTTCACAGCAGCAGGATTAATCGCTAACAGTACTTAGGCTACAAAATGTGAATAGTGTTTTTGTTACAGAACAAAATTTCCAAGAACTGCAGAAATGTTTCATGGAAAAGCACTGGCATGAGTTTGAAGACAAAGAGGAAAACAAATTATGCTATATGGATATCTTCAAAGAATATGTAAGAATCGTTTCTATTTGTGTCCTTATATTTAAAATTCAAATTCATTGAGCTCAAATAGATGGTATCAGTTTTGGTGCATACAGTAAGAGAGTCTTCCGATCTGCAAACCAATGTTGGAAACAGTATTTTGTTGTGTATTATCCTAAATTGCTCATGTACATGTACTTCATCCTTCTTAGGTCCAGTGTCATCTGGAACACTTTATTTTCAGACATTTGTAATTACAGTTTCCCTCAAAGTAGGACTGCATTTCACTCATACAGACCTGGCAAACTTATTTTTGTGTATCCTGACATCAGCATTTCAGAAAGTGGACCAGAAGATAAGTTTGAAATAGAATAGTAACAAACATATATACCATTACTGTTCTCCTACTTGATCAAGAACCTCATTTCAGTTTTTCAGTTCCCAGACAACTGAACCATGAAATATTCACAAATTATTTATTACAGGTAATGTGACACTATTGTTGATTTTGGTTTCACATCATATTCATATACAGACTGCCCCACCACATAATACCCGGGCTTCGGGAATGTATTCTACAAGACGTTTGAAGAAAATATTCCCTATAGACAGTAGTTCTTCAAAATTATCAACTTCCATGCTTGTGTGGTATCCGTGTTCTAGTCAGATTTTTGTATTTGACTGGTGTGGTTGTTTTCCATTATGCAAAAACTTAGACAAATGCAACAGCCTTCACAGTCCATAAACGAAGCTGCTGATGCAACAGGATATGAAATGGACATCCATAAAATAATTAGAAGTTCAGTGCAGTGATACAAAGTCACAGGAATTTGAGCTGAAGGAGGTCATGCTGCAAACCCTGTTTAGTTGTAAATCTCAAGTTGGAAATAGAACAATTCAAAGGAAAACTGATTTTGAATTAATTGCTACACTACACTAGCACCTAGCTTGATACTAGTGATGAATGAAACTATCGTTCATCATTTTCTGCTTTGACTGACCTGTTGAATTTACTTCAGAAGCTCTCAACTGTGTTTTGTAGATTAACCACAAACCTAAACCCCCTTCTTATTGACTATAACTTTGTGTGATGATTTAAATGCTCCCTGTTACAGACCTTCCTGTAATATGAACCAGGGATATTTTAGAGTTATTTGCAGTAACTGTACATCTTACCCTGTCACAGCTTCATATTTCATAGTAATAATAATAATAATAATAATAATAATTGAGTGCAGGATTTGAGGTTCTCAGAGTGATGTCTATGAAGTGTACTATCTTCTTGGATGTTATACTTTGTAATCTGGTAAAAGTCTCACTGGTAAAGCTAACATTTTTTATTCAGGCCTGTACAGCATGTACCATTATTTTCCTGAAGATACCACCCACAGAGTTATATTTAGGAATATGATCCTTATAAATTACTTAAATTTAAACAAAATCATTAGAGCCATTTTTGAAAAAAATCACAATTTTGTATTTTGGGGCCCATTTTAAGAGCCCATATTTTTAGATCTGGAATGTTCAGATTCATAGGGCATCAACTTAGGATGGATAAACTCTTGAACACTGAATGTGTATAAACCCCATCAACTGTTCACACTTATTCATATTAAGGGGTCAAAATTTTGTAATTGTTTCAAGTTCACAGTACTTTATCATATAAATTATGAGAAAGTAAAATACAGATAAATCATTCTGTACAATTTAGAAAAGATTATTTGATTTCTTTCCAGATAGACATTATTGAAAAACACATTGAAACACACCTCATGATGAATATTCCAAACTTTTCAATGGAGAAGTTCATTGAACAGCTACAGTAAGTACTAAGTACTAAGCATGTAAATATGTTAAAATAGTTTAAGTGCATATGATTTGGATTGAAAAGGGCAAAGTCTGGAAAGAGCAACAGATAGCATCCATCCTTCCCCTGTCTGTATATTCAATTTACATATGATGTATGTATGTAATGTGTAACTTGAAACAGAGTGGTTCCTAGTTAACTTTTTCAAACCAAAATATTTTGTGATATTAGCAATTGTTATTTTCCATCTTCCAAAATATTTATTTGACAAAAGATTCGTAATTTACAAAGTTGTACTTGTCACAATATGTTAAGACCCTATATAGAATGGCTAGTGTTGGTAGTGTCGATGATAGGATGTCAAGATGAGAAATCCAGTAGTGATGCTCATATGAACAAGTCTCATGAAAACTGATCACTTAATGCCTATAACATTCAAGCCCTTAACAGAATCAGAATGGATATACACATGCAGCCCAATAATAAAAAACTATGCTGTGAAAAGGTGATTACATTTTATACTCAGATTCCATGTATTTCAGGACACGAAGAAGTGAACTGGATGGTGAGGTATTTGAGATACTCTTTACATTTTCAGACTTCACAGCTTTCAAGGAAATGTTCTTGGACTATAAGGCAGTAAGTAATTGCATAATGTTCTCTTGTGCTTAGTATGAAAAGTTTCCTGTAGTTACCAATAAATGATAAATGAAAGAATTTGAAATAACATACAAAGATGGGTGTATCTAAACAGTTTATTATAGAGTTGTATGACTGAAGTTACATGAGGTTTTCACAGTTGTAGAGATTCATACTGTAATATTCTTGGTTGTGGGTGTAGTCACGTGGTGGGTGGTTACCAATGATTTGGAGGAATATACTGCTACCATCAAGGTAGAAGTGCTCTTATCCAGAAGACTAAAATTAGATTGTTAAAAACAAACATACTTTCTGATTTCCATATTGTGTTCAGGAATTAGAATATAAAATTTGTACATTGCTCTCTGGAGATTCTACTCGGCACAGGTAACTAATATCTGATAATAATCAAATAAAAGGTCACTTATGTGAACACCCTGTATATAAATGTCTCTAAATAATTCTTTCTGCCATTCGATAACATCAGGGGCACACGGTAGCATGGTTGAGGCACTATGCTGCAAGTTTGAAGGACACAGGTTCAATTCCCGATGAGGTCACTGGATTTTTCAATTGACCTGATCCTTTCAGCTGTACTATGACCCTGGGGTCAACTCAACCTCCAACAGAAATGAGTACCAGGAATCTTCCTGGGGCCAAATGGTGGCTGGTGCATAAGGCTGAAAACTTTACTGCCATCTTTCAGACGATTGTCTAGAAAATGTGGGAGCCTCGATATCTCACAACCATACAGGCCTGCACGGCCTATTACAGGGATATTTTCTTATAACAGCATTGTTTATACATATAAAAAGGAAATATGTTTTATGAATGGAAGATAGACAAATTCCAAGGAAAATTTTAACATACAATCCAAGAAGATAACAGAACTTAGGGCACCCACAGTTAAGATGGAGGGGCCAATACACTCTTCAGGAGAACAGAACAGACCAAGCATGGCAGCATCCATTGTTGTTGTTGTTATTATTATTATTATTATTATTAAAAGGACCGCTTCTGTGGTCTAGTGCTTAGAATTCCTGGCTACAGATCCAGAGGTCCAGGTTCGATTCCTGGCACTACCAGATTTTCTGAGAAGTAGTGTGTCTGGAACAGGGTCCACTCAGCCTTGTAAGGATAATTGAGGAGCCATTTCACGGAAATAGCAGCTCTGGCCTTAAAAAACCGAAACTAACGGTCATGGGGATTTGTTGCGCTGACCATGTGACACCCTCTATCTGCTAAAGTTTGCACTACCTTCGCTGACAAGCATCAGTCGCTTGGTTCACTTACAGACTAAAACCATGGAGTTTTTTTTTTTGTTGTTGTTTATTATTAATAGGACTATATGGAAGAGCATGACCTTATCTTATTTATTTATTGATTTATTGAAATGGAAATGCATATTCTTCAAAGGGGCATGGAAGTTACATAGAAGTATAATATTTCACATTCTTTTGTTTTCTGTTTGTGAGATGTTAGGAATGTGCTGAACTGAATATAACTGAAAATGATCAGTTATATCAGTAAGATTGTCAGACAGTTCAGTTTCGTTACCCCAGATGCCTATTTGGAATTAACATTACAGGAAATAGACTAGAGGAGACTATTGGCTCATTGGGTGATTTTATTCATCAGATAACTGCCTGAACATATTTTCAGGTGAAAGATGGAAGAGTGGAAGATTTGAGCAAAGGCATATGCATTACTTCTGGGGGTTTACATTAGGAAAGAATAGCAGCCAGTTCTACAGCAAGAATGGATTTGCATAATAAGTTTGTAAGATTTGAGGCTTTCACGGCGGTGACTATGAAGAAAGCAGTCTTCTGCATAATAAGTTTGTTAAAATATATATATTTTGCTGCTTGCTGGTGGATAGCACATAGAATGCAATACATGCGTAGATGTTCATTAATTATAAGATCACCAAATACACATATTAGTGAAAATATCAGAGAAACCGTAGTAAATATAAAAAGTGTAATACCAAAATGATGATGTACAGACATGAAACAGAAGGTGAATACTTTATATTGCTGCATGACAAAGTTTGTAATATCAAACTATATGTGATTGTACAAATTACATCAGTGAAATGAAATATTACAGTGCATATACTACAATATCATGATCATATACATATGGTCAGTTTTTCATAGTGGTTATGTAATCTTCCATTTTCTTGAGTGCACTCCAGACTTATCTTCAGCTTTCAGAATTGCTGTCCATAACACTTTGGTTAGTTAAAGATGTTGGAAATAAATTATTCAGTTCTGTGCAAGGCTCTGATGGATGGGCTTCATTTTATTGTCATGCTTATAGTAAGATATCTTCAGCCTGAAAAAACTGAAGCATTATTGAGAATGAGAAAGCCTTCCTCCAACTAGTTGTGTACAAGTTCTGTGAAAGCTATAAGAACTGTAATTGTACTTGTTGAGAGAAGAACATAGATTGAGGGTGTCTGAAAACAGGGTGCTCAGGAGAATGTTTGGACCTAAAAAAGAATGTGACAGGAGGGTGGAGGAAACTATTTCATAATTGGTACTCATCATTAAATATTACTAGAGTGATCAAGGGGCAGGGCATGCAGCCAATAGGACAGATAAGAAATGCATTCAAACACCATCATTTGTTCTGTTAATGAATTTATCAATATGTAGTGGCTCAACAATGTACTCTGAGGCAGCGTTGCTAAAACACGCACTTCCACCATGGTAGGGTTTTAGGACTGTAGCACTGGAAGACTACTTAACCCATGAATCCCACAGTACTTTCATCTGCTGATATACTTTACCATGAAATAAAATAATCCAGAAGTCTGACTATATTTAGGATCTTCTCCCAGTGAACTCTTTAACCTTTAACGTACAGACTTTTAAATTGCCAGGAGCCCTGTACAGCCAGAATTTAAATCGCCCTATTTAATTATCATTGCAAACTTTTAGAAAAAAATGCATATTTTTGGGTTCTGTGCAACATAGAAATATGAACTAAAAAGAACCTGAAAGACAATAACATTTTCTACATATACATAAAAGAGCAAGTTTTACAAATGAAAATTAACTGCGATTATTTTGTCATGAAATGCAAAATATAATCTTTGTTATATATGTTATGAAATTCCAAAGGACTTAACTGTTGTTTTTTCTTCAACCTTGAATCATGGTGATACTGTAAATATAATCACACTATATATAATATTTTGTTCAGACTGTACGCGAGTTTGAACTGCATCACTTCACAGTTTACGATAACTCACACTCTGACGCGCGTGCCACTTCTCGAAGCAGTCCACCATACATAGCGCAATGTCACACTTTCTACAGTAGTAGAGCGTGCTTCTCTACTTCTTATTTTGAGAACAAATATGGCAATGTCTTTGTTTTCCGTTGGTTGGCCAGTATTGTGAATGTTTCACCTCCAGTCAACTCGGTTGGGCCCCAGATGAACTTGGCCTCCCCCGAGAAACGCCACTGACTGTGATATTTGCCTCATGCGATTGAAGAATCAAATCCCACACCAATATTTCGTGGAACTTTTCGTGTGTCGTTTTTCCACCACATGACTTCTATAATAGATATGCATTTAGAATAGTCATATCTAGAAGGTGGAAAAACCATTTCTTTGTCCACTTCCATATCCTCCTAGCAATGCCATAACTGTTTACCATCCTGTCAGATTTATCAACAAAGTCTATGTGTGCACTGTAGTCTTCAATTACATGGGGTTTGACAGCATGGCCAGATTCATCTCGGAAGTTGCCTTCCAATGGAGGAAGGTGCAGATTTGTCAGAACATACACATCACGCTTGTCTTTCCAACGAACAACACTTAGATGCCCCTTGACTCTTGTAACAATATCCCCTTTTTTCAATTTCATTGACTTGGGCCGAATTTCTTGTGGCATTCCACGCCTAACATTGCGAACGGTGCCACACAAATTTATTTTCCTTTCTAAAAGATCATCAAATAATGCAGGAGAACTGAAATAATTGTCCATGTAAATATTGTGTCCCAAGCTTTCTACTCTTCAAATTAGCTGGAGAACAATGCCATGTGTCGATGTAATTTCTTTTGTTGCAAGTTAACTTTGTTTGCCCAAATAAACTGTCATGTCATAAGTATACCCAAAAAAATCGCAAAGCTTGTAAATTTTTATACCAAATCTTTTGCGTTTCTTTGGAATATACTGATGAAAAATCACTCTTCCTTTGAACAACACTATGACTTCATCAACAGCAAGACATTCTGCTGGATTGTAAAGTTCACAAAATTTGTTGTTGAGATTGTCAAAAATGTTTCTAATTTTCCAGAGCCTATCATGCTCTGGGTCAAATCGATTGGGAGGAGCTTCATTATTTTCAAAATGTAGGAATCTAAAAATATGGAAGAAATGGTCTCGTACCATGGTGTTATGGTAGAATGGAGTGTAGTATTGCTCATCTCTTGACCAATAATCTTTGATGGTGTCCCGTTGATTGTGGCCCATTTGAATAATTATTGCCAAAAAGTTATAATCTATTCAATTGTAACGTCAGGCGGTTGAATAGAAGGGCCTGGAGCATCTTGGCATGCTGGGAGCATATTGGGAGCAGCTGATCTGTTGATTCCACTCGGAGGACCAGTACTAACCTTTGGCGAATCCCTGGGTCTTCTATCATGAAACCTAATTTCCGTTTCCTCTGCCTCATTGTCTGATGATGACAACATATTTGCTCGAGGTTCAGTGAACTCATTGATATCTTCTAACTCTTCATCAGATTACTCTTCCATCAATATTTCCTCCAGTTCTTCTGCATCGAGAAGTTTGGAATATTAGGCACGTTTTGGAGGTTCCATCTTGGGGAAGGTGGGGGGTTTGCAGCAAAATCGAATAAATTATGTTGATTGACAAAGACTCGCAAAATAGTGATGCAAAGTAACTGTAATAGTATGGTACAATAGGCCAGAAGTGGCAGCAGTACAAGGGACTTAGTCCCACCCCACTAGCAATAAAAAATAATAACTAATAGTAGTTGAAAAGGTGCCAGTCCGACACTGATACTGGAAGTCACAGTGACAAGATGCCTGTTACTCACAAAGTAATACTGGCTCAGTGGGTTTATACCTCTTCCGAGACACAAAATAAAAATAATATATAAAGAAATATATGACAGTCTGACACCAACTTTTTAAGTGATAAATAAATATTACACAATCCAACACTGACTTCCTAACTGATAATTCGCCACTGAAAACCAACCCTTGAATACGTCACACTTCCTTTAAAGCTCTGGAAGCACCGACAAATATTTCCTCTTCAGTTCTCAGACCAAAGCTGGGCTATATTTGGCTGACCAGGTCATAAACAGTCATATATAAACGTAAATAGTTTCAAAATCAGGACTGAGATAAACGATTTAATTGTTCAAAGCTAACAAATGAACCTCTGACATGACCTTGCATGGGTTTGTTTTGGTTTCAAACCCAATATCAAACTGTCAGCACTCCCAGAGAGTGCACGTATCCTGGGTCATATAGATGACATTCGGCCAACACAAGTTGCTGCTTGATGCATATATGTATGACATTCGTCCGTTAAAGGTTAATTCCTTGAAGTTACTGAAGTAAAAGTGAATGCAGTATCCACATCTGATGGAGTCTATCTGTGCTGAACTGTACATTTTTCTGGTGCTGTGTACTGCTGGTGATGTAAACAATATATAATGACAAATTTTTCTTTGCTTACAACCACCCATTATCAGGTGCCAAATTAGAAAAAGGACCTTATTCAATATTCAGGAAAATACATTCTATAAGATTCACATATATGGCTAATGCTCCAAAACTGCCTATTATGGAAGGAAGAAACATCAAATTCTCCATAAGCATTATCACCAGTACAGGTACAATAGGACATATGGAAGCCGATGTGCCGAGGGGACCTAATATGGACTCCACCTCACACTATGTGAAATCTTAACTATTGTAATCAGCCAATGTACAGTAAGTGACTTGTCCTATATCATGTAACAATGATCTATAGAGACGAAATAAATAAATAAATAAAATTAAAATTTACTGTCATCAATTCTGATTCTGAGTATGTGATCACACTGATAGTAGATTGGAAGACTGAAGTACATATAATATACTAAAGATGCTTACTGCAAAAGTTATTTTTATTGTTATCTTAATAAAGACATAACATCAACACAACTGGAATCACCCACATGCAAAATTCTGCTAATGCATGAAAATTTCCATCTGAACAAGTCTGCTGTTGGTATCACCAGGCATTCGATATGGAATGGTGCCTGCAAAGCTCGTGATGGCACGGGCTTTTTCACGAAAATATGCCAGTTGCTGTAACAGAAACAGTTGTAATAAACAATAATCTAGTTACTTGTAACATGTTGTGGATATCATACAATAACACAGTGCAATGCACTGTTACTCCCCAGTGAACTTCAACAGACTCTTTTGCTTCTATTACTACAGAAAGGATAAGATGATAAATGCAGGTGTGTAACATTATATCTTAACTAGAAGATACGTTATTATTGTATTGGCAGTGGAATGAACACAAATGTTTTCTTATGTAACATTAATCATAACTTTTGTGGCATACAAAAAGGTTCAGATTTAGTGAAATGTATTTATATCTGTGCTCTGCAAAGGAACCTCATCACTATACACAAGTGAGTGATTAGGCAATCATCCTCCAGTTCCTCGTTGGCTCTCTTTCGATTTTCGGATCATATATTTTGGAGCAGAATTAACTGGGGGCAGAAAGTGTGTTCAAAAATTGGGGTGCACAGCTTATTCATGATAAAGTTGGAATTGTTGCACACTCGTTCCAAGCATCACCTTAATGTTCACAACATATCTTTCTTCGANAATACGGAAATTCCCGTCATTTTTTGAACACACCTCGTATACACAGTTGTAGTGTAAGAGTGAGTGTTCATGTTCTGTTAAACACAAGTACTGCAGGCATTTTATGACCTTTCAAGATTAGTGAAAATTTTAAAATAATACAAGAGCTAGAATAAATCAGAAATTGTGCTGCTGGTAGAATTTAAATAAATAAAAGTTGTATAACAGACTGCAGAAAGAAGAAGAAAGTTGACACTACAAACACTGGTAGGCAGAAGGGCTTTATGTGGCAATAAAGTGAAATTTCCTGAAACAGAAAAAAAGCTTTCCAAATATGTAAGGAGTGGTAGTTCAGGTATGCGGTATCGGCCAAAATGTGTCAGTTAAAAGCAAAGGAACACGAGATTATTTTTTGTTGTTACAAGATTTGATTTGTGCATTAGGGGTGGAAAACCCCCCCAGCAGTAGGATGTTAGACCCTGAAAAGTATATGGCTGTAACAGAAATAAGCTAAGAACAGTGCATTTGTATTAAGAGACACTATGTATTATGTACTGTAATACTTCAATAAATTAAAATAAACTTTTTCATTTCCTAAAATATGGGGTGTACAGCTTATTTAAGAGCATAGGGTATTTGAGAGAACATGCTATATTAAAGTTTTCATTATTCCTAATATTTACAGTACAATCCAAAATGTTCCCAAGATTTTACTGATTATAATACGGTTTCTCTTTTTTATGTATATATATAGGCTGACAAGGTTAATGAGATAGCTGCTGCTTTGTCACAAATTTGTTTCTTCTATTATGCAATAAAAGATAAAGTTGTTCCCATACTTAACTAATTAAGCACCACCCCATGAAGATGTTTGGGGGTGGGGGGTGATGTATACATTAACATTTTCTTGACCTCGGCACTAGCTGGAGGTGGGTGGTCAGCTTCACCCAAGGGGAAAGAGTCCCCTGGTACCCATTGGATAGGAGGTTGAATAGACCCCAGGGCTTGTCTGGACAATATAAAAAGTAAAGCATTAAGCACCATCACATGAAGATGTTTGGGGGTGGGGGATGATGTATACATTAACATTTTCTTGACCTCGGCACTAGCTGGAGGTGGGTGGTCAGCTTCACCCAAGGGGAAAGAGTCCCCTGGTACCCATTGGATAGGAGGTTGAATAGACCCCAGGGCTTGTCTGGACAATGTAAAAAGTAAAGCTATCCCTGTAACAGGCCGTGAAGGCCCATAGGGTTGTGAGACGTTGAGGGTCCCACATTATCTACACAATCGGCTAATAGATGGCGATAAGGTTGTCAGCTTTATGTGCCGGCCACGTTTTACTCCCCAGGAAAATTATTTAATTAATTCCTGGTAATCATTTCTGTTAGAGGCTGATCCAATGACCTCATCGGGACCTAAACCCGTGACCTTCCGGCTTGTAGCATTGTGCCTCAACCAACTGCGCTACCATGGAGAAGAGAAAATTCTTGACCCTACCGGGACTTGAACTCCGGCCCCTTGGTCATCCAGCCTGTAGCCAATCTCTGTACCGGCTAAGCTATCCATGCTCTCCTCTATTATACAATACTATAATTTATTTTTTTGCACACATATATGTGCTTAGAAGGATGATTGACACTGATGTAACAGGTTTCTTAACTACAATGTCATTCATTTCGGTTAGATTTAATGTAAAATATAATACCAATACATACTTTATCTTCTAATCGTCCAGAGCTAGAAGTGTTTACATCTCCTCCCCTGCAAGAATGAGAAACATTTTAATGAAAGAGGAAAAGGGATAAATGTCATGTCAGAATTTACACTTCTACATCCAGTCATGTCAAATGATACTGCCAACATATTCATTAGAAATGTCATATCAGAATTTATACTTTTATATGCTAATTATGTCACATGATATTACCAACATATTCAAGGGAAATTGATGTTTACATTAGAGAATTAAACTTGTGTGAATATACAGAGGTTAAAGGGACTGAAAAGCATAAAGTACACACACATCACAAAATGTCTGAAAAATTTCAGGAGTTTAGTTGGTTCAGTTAGAAAAATGTTACACCACTCTCATCCTCAACAGCTGACAGCTGATCAGAAAAGACCTACAGCATGGCCTCTATATACTATCTTGTCATAAAACACGTGTTGCCTCTTTTATGCCCTCAGGATTGCCCTATATGCAAGCAGTATCCAGATTTTAACATAGTTCATCTCTTGTCCTCAGTTTCTCTTAAGAAACCAGCTTCCTTCATATATCCTTAAGGAAAGAAGAAAGAAGCAAACAAAGGTAAGGGGGATTGAGGTCTGGTGAATGGGGAGGCCAATTCTATGGTCTTCCATGATCAATTGAAAGGTATCCACAGTGGCAAATCAAGCATTCATTTACTTGTTGAACGATACAAGATGGGCACCTCTGTGTTATCAGATGTACATAGTAATCTGGAAAGAAACTGTGTCTTTCTTTTTGGCTTGATGGCTGTAAGCAAATATGTGTTGCAAAAGATGTAGGACTGATCACAGTCTATTTCCTTGACATCCATGAACAGAATGTCTAGCAGTCTCAAACAATGTAGCCATAACTTTTCCCACACATATCTCAGTCCTCAATTATTTATCAAGAAGCGGTAGCGTTTCCATTTTTTGTTTCTGTGATTTGTCTCAGGAATATGGTAATAAACTCATGTCTTATACCCTGTGGAAGGCCTTGACACATGCTTGATTATCAGGAGCATATCAGTCCATTTGCTGTGTCTTGGTGCTCTGAGGACTCAGTGGGCACACATTCTATGAAACCCTAATTTATATAACTTGATTGTTGTTCTGTGCAGGTTTGTCATGTTTCACTTTAAGAACCTAAGGCAATTTTATGCCTACTACTACTTGCATATTCACCTGTATTCTTCCTTCACACCATATCAGAAGATATTCTGCCAGCTTATTACTTCCTCGCTGTATTTTCATCAGTGGCAATGAATTTCTGTCATCGTAACATTTCTTGAAGCTGACAAGGAAGCTACTGCATATATATCTTTCTTGGACCACTGTTCCAGTAAAATGGCTTGTATAAACAACGCTCACTAGTTGGTAGAAACAAAGGGCTGTATTACAGATGATAAGGATTGCAAGCCATATATATCATGTCACTGTGGATTGATTGGTTATATGCCTTGTAAATTTACTTTATGGCGAGGCCTTGTACATTGGAAAACTGATCCTATGAAACTGTAAGCTACTAAGGAAAGAAATGCTGATAACAGAATTGCTGTGACTAGCTGAATAACTATGAATTGGACTGATCAAGAATTACCCTGTACCAAGGAGTTATCACAATTAGTGCAGCAAAATCATGATGCTTCACTGCAGTAACAAAAACCACTGAAACTGACAGTTTCTTAATGTTACACCTATGGAAAACTATCACATGAAGCAAGGTTCCCCCCTCCCCCATACTTTCAGTATCATGAATGACTCGTAAGTAGTTCCAGCTGTCTTCCCATGACTTATTACAAAAGGTTAATTAATTCTGTCCACTGTAATTGATAAAGTTCTTTTTAATCTTTTATCCTTTACATCAAACTTCCCATGACTTGTTGCACCAACTGTATTTGTAGTTTTGCTTTTGAAGATATATATGGCCAGCAGTCTGCAAAAATCCTGTTAATACTCCATCTTTGTGCTACCCTTGTCTAGGAGAAGGTTCACATTCTAAAATCTGAGAACAGCTTATAGCCTGCAAGTTTAAACCACTGAGAAATGTACATCACATGCTGTCCTCAGAATATCCTAATTTTTCCAGCAGTTTGTGTACTGTGTCACTTCACTTGTTTATGGAGGCACCGTGCAATATTTTTTCCCTCTATGTGATATATGTTTCCTTCCCCTGTGCTTCCACTGACCTTGAGTGAAGTTGCAGAATATAGCTACTCATGCGTATGTTTAAGATTTGTCTCCCATCAAAATATCTGCTTATTCTGGTTGGTGCTGAGTGCAAATTTTTGAAAAGCCCTAATTATGGCAAAGAAATGGAAGAGTCCAGACTTGAATATGAAGCTTGAAATAATACATATCATGTTTTATTAACTGTCTACACAGCATTCATAGATGGTATATTAATTATACATACTAAATGCTGTTATTTCTCACAACACGTTTTGATCAAACATTGATCACCATCAGGTGAACATTTACAAAGAAAATAAACACAGATTAATGACTTGCATACTGTATTTCATTTTATTGGAAGCTGGATCCAGTAACTTGATTACAGTTCACTTACAAAAAATTATGAATGGAATGTGGGTGAGAGTTGCAAGTGTGCAGCAAACAGTAGGCATGGCTTTTGCTTGTAGAGGACAGCACCTAATTAGCAGGTGAATGTGACCAGAAGTAATTTCCAAAAATCTTTAACTCTTCGGTTCTGATAATGCTAACATTAATGAGAATGTTGAGATATTCGTCATTGTTTTCATATTCCTTTGATAACCACTTCAAAGAAGAAATATTGGTGCACCCATATTATTATTCAAACCTTAGAGCCATACCGTATGTCACATGATGGATAGGTAGAGGACACTTTTTGGATATTATGAGTATCCGCTAGAACATGCATTTTTTTTTTGTTTCAGAATTTTATAAACTCCTGTGATAATGAGGCTACACTTTAAATGTTATGTTACAAAAGATGATAAAAGATTGTCTAAAGAACAGCTTTTATGAGAAATAGAAGAGCAGCAGGTGTACTGCATTCGTTGAGATTTTTCATACCTCACTGGCCTTGATGTTCAAATACTACAGAAACAAATATACTGACACAGCTAAAAACACTAAGAGTATCACAATTCACTGAAGCAGAAATTATTTCCTTGTTTCTTAAAAATAATTTATATTTTATGATATGTATCAACTCTTTTGTATGCAGTGTTTCTAACAGCATAAAAATACAGTACCAATATGAACTGGAATGGATTGCCTCTACACCTTACATCAGAATGCAAACAGTAGTAGTATTAATGATACTCACTTTGTCTTATTGTACTGTACATAAAGCATATTCATTGTGGCAAGCAGCACATCTGGAATGTTCCGACATATCTCCTCTCCAAGACGCTTGAAACTGTTCACTCGTTCCTCAACTTCCAATAGAGTCATGGGGATCAATTTTGTTTTTGCAATTATCTAAAACATAAAATGAGATCACAGAGCAATATTTAATAAAACTGTATTCACCATTTTGTGTCACAACATATACAGTGGAACTCCCATTTAATGTTTGTCAAGTTAAGGTTTTGACTCGTTTAACATTAAATTTCAATTATCCACAATCCCAATGTTTAATTACCTACATTTAAGGTTTTCCTCAGTTTTATGTCCATAGCTCCTAAAAGAAACTTTAAATGCAGTACATTTAGAAAGTTTGTAAACTTTACTGCAAACCATCTTTGAAGTACTTCCCTTCTGCTATTGAAATTTTTGCAAATAACAATAGCAATGATGGAAGAATTCCTGCAGTTCATTTCCTGTAACATAACTAGTGCTGCTATTGTAGCCTCTGACTGGAACCTGCATCCCTTTGTTCTTGAAAACAATAGTAATCAGCATTGGCTATTTGGATGATCAAATTATACAAGATGAGGCAGATGGAGCAGCCAAAATGCATGGAGATGAGAGATGCATCAACATTTTAATTAGTAAACAGAGAGAAAGCAACCACTTGAGATGTCTGGGTGTATATAATTATAATTAGATATTACAAATATATTTTAAAGAAAGGGGGTGTGAGGGGTTCAACTAGCTCTGGACAGGATCCAGTGGATGGCTCTTGGGCATACACCAATGAAACTTCAAGGACTCTGTTCCATGAACTTAAGACAAATATGGAGTTCATTCTGCTGCTTGATGGGTCAAGTGACATAGCTCACCTCAAGAGCTTGGTGGTACTCCTGGGCATGATACTGATCAAAGAATATAAGGAGATCTCGCAACAAGAAGAATGTTGATGCTGTGTCAGGTGAGCTATTAATCTGCTGTCCCCTGTATCGGCTTGTGATGTTGTCTGCTAGTTCCTGCAAGCGTGTGCGCAGGGATCCAGGGCGATTAACTTGATGTACCACCTGACTCATCATTGAAGTCATCAACCCCAGTACCTTTTCATGATTCTGAAATAAATATGTTAATTTTATTTCCAAGATAAAACTTGTAGCAATGTTAAATTTTTATGGATTGCAGTTTACACTAATATGATATTACTATATGAGAGAAGGTAAAATTGTTTGCATATGACTTCAGTAATGCATTACTATTAACTAGAATTCTGGTACACAAGTAATTCCTCACTTATTCTTTCATTACATTACATTAAATTTCATTACAGCACTATAGTTCTAATGAAGGGGTTAACTTACACCTGCTAGATCATATAACTTAATGGCATCTTCAAACATCCCTTTCCGTTCAGAATCCATTGCAACCTGTCCAATAATAAGCTTTGTATCCGCCTGAAAAAAAGAAACTATGTTGAATTGAATAACATTCAAGCCTGTCACTAGGCACAATTCTAAGTCAGTTCTACCCTCCTCTGATCCTCACAACTTATCGCCCTAAAATTCATCTCGATATTATCATCCCATCTTCATTTTGTCTTCAAGTGGACGTATTCAAAGACATTTCCTCACTGCAATTCTGGGTGCATTCTATACCTCCTTGTCCCATCCACTTGCTGAAACTATTGTAACCTCTTAGCTTTCACTACTGTAATAGTCTGTGTGTAAGAGAGCGAGAGAGAGATGGGGGGAGGGTTTACAGGCACTTCAGCTTATTTATGTTATTTGTGCCTATGTAAAATGCAGGTTAAAACATTCATAAAACTGACTAAATGTAAAGTAAAATCAGTGCCTTTTTAATGACTGTATGCAATGGCATGGCATACTGGCACCTTTATTGATGGTGATGTACGTGGGGGGGGGGGCCGACTACTGTCATCTATAGAAACACGTCCCTTCAGGCCCATGACTTTCTAGTGCCATACAAATTCTTTTTTTGCCAGATTCATCAATTCTATTTCTAAGATCATCCCCATACTCAGTAGAATTTGCTCTTGCATTCTGAATATGATTTATGGAAATTCAATAGGCTCTTGGCACAATGTGACACCAAATATGCAACCAATCAAACTTTCATTCTTTGTTGTTTTTTTTTTTTTGAGTTAATATTTCATGACTTTCTGAAATCACTGCTTCTTAAAATAACTAACAATAATAAATAAAAATAACAGTTTTCTTCAAGAATTTATGGCTAATGTAACATTAGCGCTTTTGTACTGAAGCACTGAAACCCAGTAATTTGAGGTGGCTATTTCAAATTCCCTCCCTTTCTTTACATTTCTTGTTCTGTTCTTTATCACTTGTATTTTATTTCTGAAATAATATTTATGAATGATTCCTTACAAAAAGTATATTTTTGTTCAGTTGGCATTTATCTCCCATCTCAGAGGTGATTCTGATGCTAATGACAGTTTTGTGCAGAAGATGTTGTAGATATATTATCAAGGATCATTTACCTAAAAAAAAAATGTGAAATTATATAGACTTTTGCATGGTACTGAGGAGGAGAAATTCTGAATGTCACACATAATGAGTACCATTATGTGATGCTTTGGTATATTGCTACTTACCACACAAAATAAAAATTAATAGAAACAGAAATATATTACACCACATTCTTGATTTACCCTTTGTTCAAAGTTATTTTCAGAACACAGCTCTATGAAATACCATTTAGATTTTTCCCAGAATTATTCCTCCTGTATCTGAGATCCCTTTTATGCCTGCCTGATAACATTTGCTGTATTTCTGGTTTCCTTTATTCTACAAACCTGTGTGCAGGGAACAATTTTTCTCTCCTAACACTGGCCATTTTTTCTCAGCAAATCCCTAAGCAGCACTTTTACTTAGCTGCCTGTGCAGTAAAGTGGTGGTGTTACTGTGAGCGAATCTGTATTAAAAATTGTAACAATACAGATAAAATGACTCAATCCTAAGAATAAAAGTAGGTAATTTAAACAAACTTGTCTACCCAGTGCCACACTGTTAAGAAACTATGATCATCCCCTCAAATGTTGTGCAACACACCACAGAGATGGCAGACTTGGCATTCTTTGTCATATCGTGGGCATTCCTGCAGGGCATATAAAATGGTAAGGAGGGCACCACACAACATACAGACAGCAGCTGGGTACCTCTCACAAGATGTCCAGTGTCCTTGTATGACGTGTGCGTGATCAATCTGAAGGCATACAAGCATGACTTCTTCCTGAAGGAGTTCAATTTCTTATTCTGTGTATGAGTCCATTCATCTTGCCAAGCCAGAAAACAGGGTGATATAGGCATGAAGAGTGCTGCCCAGAGCTCAGTCTAACAATGAACCTCCATGCAAGACAGTTATATCAGCAGCCTCACTGCTGGTCAGAACCATATGGCTAGATACCCAGCAAAAGAATCAATTTCCTTGGCTTATGCTGATTCAACACTTGATATAAAGTCTCCATAATAACCAGATGGTCTAGTATGTGTCTATGGAGACTCTTCAAAGAAGAGTGTCAGTATGATGAAGATGGCAATGCAGATGTTGCTGTCTGATGTACAAGAGAGCTCAGTTCAGCTACGTAAATGCCGTTAAAAATATGGAGGTGGTAGTAAAAAACTTGGTTTCCATACAGAAGAGCACAATCAGGCAACCTTGAACAAATGATCCCTCAGTATACACAGTCAAATAGTCAGAAAGCAGTTCCATGAGAAATTGGTGACAGGAGGTGGCAACTGTTTCACCTCTTATGTGTCTGATGAGTCAAAGGTCAGATGGGCCATATGACATGCCAAGACGGAATCCACAGAGTACTGGGAATTGATGCGACAAGACACCAAGAAGGTGGTAGGAAATGCCCACGAACTGAGAAGCTCTGGCATTCAGTGTGTACCTGTTCTGGTTTTGAAACACCACACTGTAAGAAGGGTGGGGGTGTTGAGGAGGAGATTCCTTCACAGAGAAAGTGGAGGTTCTCCGGATTTCATGTATAGACTAAAGAGATGACTGGCATGAAGGCACCAATGGTACAATGAATCTGTGTTGCGAGTAAGATCTACGATACACATCTTTGATTTTATTGTGGACCCATACACGATGTCTCCTTAGCCAAACCTTGAGCATATAAGGGCACGACAAAGTCTGGGCATTACTGTCTAGTCTCTGCAGCATGGCCATCCAGAGACAACTTTTCAAACGTTCAGTAACCACCTGCATTTATGACTGAGTCATAGCAAATGAGATTCCCACAAGAGTTTGCTGCCAAAAAGAAAGCCAAGGAACTTGAGAGCTGAAGCAACTGGCAGAATCCTGTTGTGAAGAACAGTCTGGGAGGATGATGCAGACATCCCAGTAATGTGAAGTGCGCACATTAGGTTTTTGCGGCAGGGAAGGAAAATCCATACAGCAGAGCCCAGCTGGCAGACAGACAATATATAGTGATATTTACCCAGCATTCTTTAGTAACCCTCCTCCAGAACTGTAATGAATAATGACATCAACATGTGATGTTGAGACACATGAACAAACTGCATTAACCATCTCACTGATGGTGACTACAGAGTCACATTTAAAACTAATCCATGTGGCACTCAGTTTTCTTGAAGACAGCATGCAGAAGAGACACTGCCAATATGGAAATATGTGCCAGATATTTTTCTATGCACTGTGTTGTAATTTATACTCTCCTTTCAAAGTAAGAGACCATATTTCATATCTGAACTAAACAAATGGCAAAATTATTCTTTTGTACATCTACAGTATTTTGGAATGTTGAAAGTTATCTAAATACGTGGGGCAATCCAAAAGTTTCCGAAATTTGAATTTTGCGCGCGAATGGGTATGAGTACATTCAAATACTGCTAGGTGTCTCCTCACACATCCTTCTTGATTCAGTGTGGCAAGCGGC